TGTAAAAAATAAATATTAAAAAAAATAAAACTGTGTTACAAAGAGAACCTTTGTAGAGTGGAACGTGACTAATGAAGACAATGCTGTTGAAATGGACATTATAATGAATTTACTATGTGAAAGGTTGTAATGGGAGTAATTTCACCCCTTCAGTGTTTTTGGACTCAGCCTGCATTAGTATTCTGCCTTCACACCCAACTATTATTTGGGCTTGGCCATTATATGAATGTTAGCTTTTATATGACAGTTTATTGCACATAAATCACAGTATATTATACAAGTTAACACAAGGCCGGTAAACGTAACGCCGCATTGCTACTGATGCTTTGAGGAATCTTCTCTCCACACCATTGCAATGTTGTTCATGTGATGTGAACAACTGAGTTATAAAATAAGGCTGCAAGTCAAAAACATTTATTGCTAGTTGTCTACGTTCTTGATTAACCAGTTATTTCTTTGATATACAAAAAGAGCAAAACTGTGTTTTACCGAAGCCCCAGATGACATTTTGAAATGCCATTTAAAAGCATTTTTCTTTCCCCAGCAAAAATCAGTTGCAAACAATCACAAGAAAAAGTTTTACCCTGCATATAAACCCACAAAAAGCTGAATTAAATAAAAACAGCTACTGCAGAAAAAAGGAAGAATGACAATTGTCAGTTTGCTTTTAACTGCGGCCTGTTTAAACAATCATAAATAACTACAAACACTTTTGATATTCAACTTGGTCAGACAGCATGTCACACAGTTCTGTAGCATAACCCATCAATTTAACTCCCAGCACTATAAAAAAAAGTGTATTTCCTTTCCTTAAGAGAGCAAAGTTTATTAATTTAGCGCCCTTCTGGAGCAGATGTCTCAAAGTGCTTCTCAATAAAAGACAAAAGCAGCAGACAGTAAATCGAGGGTCTACAAAAAGACAAAGTCATACTCTGCGTGTAAAGTCCTCTGAGACAATTTTATGATTTTGGGCCGCATCAATAAAAGTGACTTGACTTGGCGTATACTGCAGACACAGTACGAGTGTGCAAAACAAATATATTATACATAAATAAAGGGAAATTAAAAAAGACAGGTCTTAGGATGACTTTTTCAGTGTGGTTGCGGTGTCTAGGAGCTTTAACAGTCACAACCTTGGAGTCTCCTTTACTTTTAAACCCAGCGTGAGGATCAGAAGACCTCAGAGTTTCTAATGTAAGCAGGACTCCGACCACGCAGAGTCCTAAAAGTGATCACATGAATGCTGATTGGAAGCCTGAATTTGAAGAGGGGCCAAAAAGAAAAAAGAAAAAGAAAAGAAATTAAAATAGATCAGAGTTGCTCCGTGCTACCAGACACATCTGATAAATGACATACTCTAAATCTTTCTGTTTCAAACTGCATGCAGAGACATAAAAAAAGGCATCCAGTAGTTTTCCTTTCACTGGGTTAGCAGAAAAAAAAAAAATAGCAAAATTGCCCATAAGCAGAAATATCACTTCAAAGCTACTTCAGTGCAGCTGCTACAGTAAGTGGTGGAGTGTGGAGCTCCTCTTTGGTGTCATTGTGTATGAATGTGTGTTATTATGTTTCCTCGTTAATCTCTTTGGCCTGCACATAAAAGCCTGCCAATTCTCCTGGTTAAATCAAGGCAAAATCCCCACTATACTGTGGAGTTCACACCTTCAACAAATAACATGCCGTTGACCACTTAAAAGGCGACGTCCAGCAGATAACAGCAGAGATGTGCACTCAAGATAAACACGAATCTTCTTGGGAGAATTAAAAAAAATAAATAAATAAAACACGACTAGACCCAATCCAATCCAGTCAGTGTGGTCGCCTTGTAGATGTGATCAATGTTCAGCTCCAAATTAAAATCTGTGTCCAGTGCCAGTGACTACGGCTACAGTGTCGGGGTGCGCCAGCAGTAACGGCAGAGTTTAATCGCAGAGACATTGCAGCCAGGCAGCTCTGCTCCTGGACTGCAGGGGAAACTTACTTCTGCATCAGTCAGTCGGACATATATAACGTCAGCTGACTGCTTAAACACATTTCTTTCACCAGCTTCACTGCATTATTCCACATCCCTTCTCCACAAGGGTTTATTTTCAAAAGGACATCTCTGTACAGTGCTGGTTTAGAAGCAGAAAATGCTAACAATGAAAAGATTAAAAAAAAAAAAAAAAAAGGTAGATGTAAACATGTGAGCAGCCGTAGGGATTCAAGCAAATAAACAACAAAGCTCAAAACAATGTCTGATCATAAATTTTAACAAGGACTTGTCGGTACAGATTCAAGACATATTTCAGACGCAGACAGACATCAGCACAGCCGTACGTGATGATCATAAAACAAGAAGAAGAAGAATCGGTTAAGGAAGTGTAAAAATGGTTTAAAGCCATAAATGTCGGCCCGCACTTGAAAGTAAAAGGCATCTATACCCACACAGTCACATGCGCTGTGACAAATTTTCATCAGAGGTTTCGACCGAAACCAGCAGCATCCATAGAGAAAAAGCCCAGCAGGTCTCCTCAGGTCTGAAAACCTCATGTCGTTTCTTTCAGTTCACTCAAAGGTTTGCTCGTTCTTTGCACAGTAGGGTTCATCTATCTTTAACCCATTCCATGATAAATAAATAATCCTGTGATTTTACGTGTGTTGTCTGCCTTGAACTATTCAAACACCAAATCAAAGGCATTATTTGTTCTGGGTTTCTACAGTGTATAGTTGGGTATCTTAAAAAAAAATATATATATATATATCAAATTACCATTAGATTTTACCAAAGAAGTAACATTAACATAATGTATTCCTCTGCAATCATTGTGCCCCCTTCATAGTGATCTCTACTAAGTGTACAGTATATGTTTGATTGTGACTACCGTAGTTTGATTGGTGCAATATCTGTGGACGTTATTTGTAAGATCAGTTGCAGTGGCTACACAGCAGTTAGCTACCCGAGGTGCTGATGTTCGCCATTTCTTAGTCCCATCTGTGATTTGATCAGTTAAAACGTGACTCTGTGTCATGATTTGACTCACTGGTTTAACAGTCTGGTCACAACTGGAGCCATAAAAGGATGGCAGCTAATAACACCGCAGACTACAGCTAATTCTGTTTTCAAACACTCCCTCCCACTCATTCACTTCTCCCTTTATAATGCACACTCAATAGTTTATTCAATAGTGAGCAGTAAATTCAGATTTCAGACGTTTACTAATCATCATCAGTTTTGACTGACAGCTGTAGAGAGCTCATGTTCACATGTATTTAACATATGGTCGGCGTTATAGTTTACATTTCTGCTTTTTATATTGCATTGTGGGATTGCTGAAAACCTGTGTACAAGCTATGAACACTTTAAATGTATAAACACAATAAGTTCAGATCAAATGGTCCACGGTGAATGTAGCGCACTAGACAATAAATAGGGATTGTTTTCAGCCAGAGTGTAAAGAAATACTGGCTCAGCAGGCGTAAACATGCAGGCTGGTTTAACAAAAGTAAATTGCTTGTGACAAACGGTGTAATTAGAACAAAGTTTAATAACGCCGAGTGATGTTTAACTGCATAGGTGGATAAATGAGAGTTAACAATATGTGCTTGTTCAATATAACGCCGTGTCTGTTAACCCTCCAAACCCCAAGCAGTGTCTAGGTGTTTTTTTTTTTTTCCAAATGTCATATTTTTACTAACTTTGAGCTCATCTTTCACTGCAATATAAAGTCCTGCACCTCCATGGAGACAGCACAGCAATAACTAAAGTAGAGAGAACTCAAAAATGTCTTCTGGCAGTACAACACTAATATAATGCCATAAATCATAAAAAATGAAGGTTGAATTTCTTTGATTACTTTTTTTTTTTTTTTTTTTTGAAATGGAAAAAAAACCTGGAATCAGCATGTTTGACATTTTTCCAAGTGCTACACAAGTGTTACCAATACGGGGGGAAAACCCATCATACTATAGATATTTTGCCACTTACAATTTTAATGTGTTTCCATACTGGTCTCCTGTCTTCTTTATGTCACACTGTCTGCATTTCAGCTGAAAAATTGCAGAATTTTTGTCACATGGCTGATGGTCACGACTGAGTCAAAACTAGCTTTATGGTTGGACAGATGAGCGCAGATTTTATTTTATTTTTTAAAGGATCTGGTTACAGCAAAGGCTGCAAGGTGGCTCGGTGAGGACACCCGGGATCTTTCTGTGTGGAGTTTGCATGTTCTCCCCGTGCAGCGTGGGTTCTCTCCGGGTTCTCCAGCTTCCTCCCACACAGTCCAAAAACATGTTGAGGTTAATTGGTGATTCTAAATTGTCCATAGGTGTGAATGTGAGTGTGCTTGGTTGTCTGTCTCTAAGTGTAGCCCTGTGATAGACTGGTGACCTGTCCAGGGTGTCCCCTGCCTTTACCCTGAGTCAGCTGAGATAGACTCCAGCCCCCCGCAACCCTAGTGAGGATTAAGCGGTGTATAGATAATGGATGGATGGGATGGTTACTGCAAATGGTTTCTTGTTGATGCATTTTTAAATTAGACAAAGTGATTTTAATGGAATATTATGATTTTCAGCTTAGCTTTGATTCATTTCCTGACAGAACTCTAGGTCATGTCTGATATGTTCAGGGACCAACAGAAGGTTGAAAGTTTTTAAAATGTTTTTACAGTTTTGTGCTCCAAGAAACTGTGAAATTTTCACGATTTCTTCCGCCTAAAGGTTTTGGGGTTCAGAGGGTTAAATTTCAGTGTGTCGTTACCAATAAACAACAGACCGACTGACAGAGACCTCCATGTTTGCTCGGGTTTACCAACACTTCCACACATTTTAGCGCCTTTTAAAGTCTGACACATTGGAGCTTTCAGAAAAAATGTGACTTTCCCAGCTGTAATTATGGCTTGGATGATGACATGAATACTATTTACAAGTTGGAAATTGGTAATTACAGTAACACTGTGACTTGAGCATAATCCTTTAATTAACATCTGATCAAATCTTCTTGAGAGATTTGAGAGACTCACCACTTTGAAGTCCTCTGCTCTGCACTCGGTGCCGTGGAAGTGGCAGGACAGCAGCATGTCGCTGATGTCGTGGCCGGTGCGGTCGTAGAATTCTCGCATGTTGAAGGGTCGCGGCTTGAAATTGTGGAAGTCAGCTTTGACCTTCAGGCTCTCCAGAACGCTTTCCTCCACAAGGTGTATGTCCCTGATCTCATACCTGGAACAACACGCAGAGAAAGGGAAGTTCAGTTAAAGCTGTAGTCATTTTAAAATGCACATTTTCAGCCATGTAGTTGAGCACGGAGTGAGGGATCTCCACAGTGAATATTCACAGCTTTGTGATAAAGTAGACTTCATAAAAAGCAAATTTCAGCCTTGAAACATTTTTGCACACTTCAGGAAGGTTTATGAGTCTCTCTATCAGTGAACTTTTGCTCCGCTCAACTAGAGCTAAAAATAATACGCTCCAGAGCAAATCAAAAGGGACAGAAAACAGACAATAAAAATGTACAAGATGGTTTTTCGGTGGCATTTTCTGACTCTCAAATGGAAAGCACTAGTAGAGTGTAACACTTTATCGTACCCTACATAATAAATTCCAGACAGGAGCTGCACGGGCCCATAAACCCAGTCGTCCATTCACTGTCAACGCAGCAACTCCAGGCTACGCAGTATTTCAACCCAAGTTTCACTTACAAAATCTGCATTCAGACTTGAGAAAAATGTGTTTGTGTTGACTGGATTGTTTTGGCCCTGGGAATATTTCGTTAAACTTTCATGTGAATTCTTAAACTGACGGGCAGCATCAAAAGTGAGTCTTAATTATTCACGACATGGCAGAGGTATGGTAAAAAAAAAAAGAAAAGAAAAAAGAAAGGGAATTATTTACAGCAATGAAATCATCTGTATATAGCAGTGTAAAAGTTCAGCTGGTAGCTCAAACCATAAGAGAATTACCACCACATTTGACAGATGAGGTGTTATGTTTTGGGTCACGAGCCCCATTTTTTTTCTCTGTGTCCCTCCTTCCATCATCTTGACAGATTTTTATTTTATCAGTCCACAGAACTTTGTTCCACAACTGAGATTATGGTCATGAAGACTTCTCCTGGTTGTTGACAAGGAAACTCATCTTGGAGAGTTTACCTGATGTGCAATACAGACATAAAAAGATTTAACTTTCCTTGTCATCCACAAGACGTGCTCTCCTTGATCTACCAGCTCATCTACCATTTTCTAATTTTCCTGCGCACACTTACAATTTTAAAATGCTGCTGATTAAAACAACCACCCTTGATATCTCTCTGATAGATTTCTGATTTTTTTTAGTCTCATTATCATTTTCCTCACCTTCATGGGTACCTCTATACTCCTCATATTGACAGGTAACCTCACCTCAATTAAGAAACTCTCAGCCTTCAATCAACTATGAGCCACTCATGACCTCTATTGTGCATGAACTAATAACACACAGCTGCATTTGTCAGCAGAGTGAAGCCACTTACTTCTGAGCCCATATTTCTGAGCTGAGACTTTGATGTAGTATTCACAGTGTTATTCCAAATTGAATGTGCTGAAGCACAGAGCTTAAAGAACAAAAAAAAAAACAACAAAAAAAGTCACTATCCAAATGCTTTTGGACTGTCAGCTGCTAAATGCTCCACTGTGTTCACCAGCGAGACTCTAACTGTGCGTGTCGGCTTTTTGTTGCTAAGCAGGTAGTGTACAGTGGGTTTTAAGAGCTACGAGAGCAGTGTGAGCGCCCACAACTTCTTTTTAGGTTGTAACCGTGATCAGCCCCTTTTATATTGTCGTGATGTTTTCAAACCGGGCTGCTTTCCGCTGCAGTAACTCAGGGCAGGCACAGGGTGGCGCGAATGTTTACAGGAGCGGTCCCATAATCAGCCCTTTGGGCCTTTCTGTCTCCATTGCGGTGCAGGATCTGACAGCTTGGACTGCAACATCAACCCTAGGTGCACCAAAACAATGACAAATAGGAGTGACTGGATATAACTCCTATTATATGAGGGGCTGCAACGAACAACTATTTTGATGCTCAAATACATTATCAATTATTGAAATAAATACTAGACTATTCGGATAATGAACTTGAGGCTGGACTCGAGTTGTTGACGTATTGGATCCGGAGAAGTTATAGGTCACTGGTGGGCTTTCCAATTGAAGCACCCTACTGTAACTGCAATGTAAAGACCATCTTCCCCCATGTTAGGGCCTCAAGGGGGTCAACTTAGACCCAATAGGCCACCAGACTTGCAAAACACTTGCAGAAATCCTGGTTATACTTTTGGTTCATCCACCTTCCCCTCAGTTCTCCTGTAGTGAGATGAGAAGAGAATTTTAACTGTTGCTCCCCAACTTGTCCTGGACTTCCAATGAAGACAGGCTTACAGTCAATTGATACAATAGTCGACATTTATTCAACTGTTTAATGAAATAAACATGGAACATCTGTGGATGTTGTACATTACACTATAATCAACACTAATGATTGACTAATGATAATTTCTCGCATCGCTTCATCCTGTTGTATCACCGCATTATTGATAGCCTGGTGTTCAGTTACATGTCTGTCGGCTTTGCCTGCATCACCTGCCAATCTTTTTTAAACTAAACTGAAAATAAAGGCTCGCAAGTAACTGAGCAGGGAGCCAGACAATCCACATCACATGCAGCTTTATCAGTAACACTGAGAAATTTACTGTCATTCAGTGAAGCTCGCAAAAGTCTGACCATGCTGCCTTGTAATAAAAGAGAGCAGAATAGCTGTAAATGCAGCCGCTCTCTACCCTTGCTGTGATCTCCCACTGTGCTATTATTAAAAATGTCACCATTTTAATGGACTCACCAAAGAGCAGACTGCTTGGAGTTTTTTTTTTTTTTTCTCCCCCGAACACTGCCTCAAATGAAAAGCCTTTCAGAAATTTCTCATATGAATGTACTGCTACGTGAATACGGCCTTTTATTGATCTTTTTTGAAACATACTATTAACACACTCAGTGTGGTTTTATGCACAACCTGAAAGAGATTCAGTGGCTTGCTTTATTTAAACCAGAGCTGGTATCTGAGATGTGTAATTGCATTATCCGATGAAATGTGGAACAAGGTGCAGTAATCCTTACGTTTTTTATTTTTTTTATTTTCATGAGAACAAAGAGACATCTTACAATCTAACTAAAACCATCTAAATATTAAATCAATAATAACTACCCTTATTCTGGATCAAGAAAAACTAATTCATAGATTTTTTGTGACATTAAGATTAAGCCAGATCCCATTAAGACAGAGGCGGGGAGCGTTTTTGTTTGATTGAAAGAGAGCTTAATTGAGGCGAGGCATTGACTCCCCACTGTTTGTGCAGTGGACAAACCTGCCAAGAAGGCACTTATGAGATAAAATCCCATAAGCACAAGCCGACGGGATCGGCGAAGGCTGACACTTCAGCATGTGTGCAGCTTAAATATCATGCCACAAGACATTTCCCAGACCAATGACTCCAAATATGGGAAGTGGGCGGAGAACAGTCTTAAATGGATTTCATGCCACAAGCACTTTCATTTCTGGCCGAGGGTATAACAGCTAAGTGTGCCATCGCATCGCCTCTCTACCTTGCCAAGGGAGGCAGGATAATGAGCACTAAACCTACTTCAGAGTGTAAGAGTTGAGTCGAGTACACGGAGAAGGAAACTTAGAAGGAAATTCACCCCCTTTATGCTTTGGTGTTCAACTTTGAAAATTCTTCTTTGTGAACTGCTGCCTGAAATGTAAGGTTAGGAGACGTATTCATGTAGAAAAATCCAGATGGCAAGTGTTGATTATCAGTCACACCAGCGTCACAGGGAAAACTGCTAATTTTAGTGTTCAATCTGGGATCTTCATTAAAGATTTAGGATTGAAGTTACCCACATAAAAGCAAAGCCACCACAGGAGTTCTGCAATGTATGCTGGGTCCTGTCCTCAATCTCTTTAACTGACAGCAGGTCTGACGTTCACATCATCTGAGCTTTTATGTTTTTCATTGCTCGGATGACACGCCGGTCATCACTTTGTTCGCCAATCAAGCCCAAACTGCAGCGACTGACACCGTCTAGCTAATTGTTTCATTATTGCTGTCTGTGTTGCCATTTGGAAATATATTACAACACCACAGGGAAAGCAATCAAAGAGCTTCTAAAGACAGGATTAGTCGCAGTCTCCTCTCTGCGAGATATTTCTTCCTTCTCGTTTGCTTCGTGCATGTTCTTAATCACCGAAAATTCATTCAAACTTCTCCTTTTACAAAAAAAAAAGTATGTTATCTACTATAATGGTAAAACTCTGACAGCTCAGAAACAAGCAGCTGTGATGAGCAGGAGAGGAGGTTTTTTTTTTTTTTGCAGCTATACTGGAGTTTCAAAGACATGAGGATTTAAATGTATAAATGACAAGAATACCCAGAGCATCTGCCATTTCACTTGTAATCAAAGGAAGCAGACTCTCCACATCTTGTCCTACTGTGCATACATGCTGCTGCCAGCCCCAGTATCCTGAGCCTTCAGCTGCACCAACAAGGCGGCTGGAGGGTTCTGATTATAATGCCTCAGTTAATTCAAGCCTGACAAGCATGCTCTCCAAGCACAGGATGACTCAACAAGGTAGAAACTATTAGAGCTTGTTGGACCAAACTGGATCAAGTATTCAATCCTTCAGCCTGAGCAACAATGCCACTCTGGAAAAACACTCCATTAGAATCACAAGTCCTTAGAAGTAGCACGAGGAAAATGACATGATCAGATGCAGAATGCAGAATCTGGGCCTCTTTCAGTGTTACACTATGCAGAAAAAAATGCATTAATGTAAAAGCAGAATCTTAGCAGTATACATTTTAGATGGTTAAATCTGTACCTCTATTGTGTTGCAACAATATAAGGACCATAAGTGTGACATCAAATCAAAAGTAGAGTAATTCCCTCTGATGTGTAGTGAAATAAAAGTGCAAAGTAAAGTAAAGAAAGTGCCTCCGTTGAGCACTTGTAGCTCAAAGTAAAAGGTGGAGAGTTTCTATGGAACAATGTTCTTACATTAGAGGAAAATATAAAACAAGCACCAACATTCATGCAGCAGAAGCAGGTTTGCACAATAAATTCTGCAGTTGTCAGTCAGATTTTGGAGGGTTACCTCTGGTTGAGCAGGGCCAGCAGCTCCCCTGCGTGGTACAGGTCGTTGCGCGTAACCCGGCTGAACCGGAACGCGTTCAGGTTGCAGAAGGTGACCGCGGGGAACGTCATGATCGGGGTCGTGACCTCGTCCAGTTTGGTGACGTGCGGGTACTCGAGGTAAAAGTGGATCCGGTCCACGCACACGTACAGCAAGAAGGTAAGGGAACCCAGGAAGAACACGACCCACAGGCAGCGTTTGATGCAGAACCGCTCGTACGTGAAGATGTGGGAGATTCCGTGCAGGGTCGAGCTGTGCGCAAAAACTTCTAAGGGAGGAGGTTGATTCGAGTCCATTTCCTCGGTTTCCACTTTGAGATCCATTGTCACGGCGAAACACTCGATGCCAGAGTCAGAAAAAGAGCTTGAAAACACTCGCTGTTTGGAGAAACTGTAGTAGATATTCATTCACCTGTGGCACAAACTGTCATTATCCATCCGAACAGGTGCAAACGCGCAGATAACCGCTCTGTCACCTGGTGCGGTTCGGTCGCCATCGCTCATGCACGCTGATCAGGAAACATTGTGAGCATCAGCCGCTCTTTCAGAAGAAGAAAAAAAAAGTCAGACGAGCAGGAATTGTGTGTTCACAAAAGCAGGCACGCAAAAGCAGAATGACTCAAACGCAAAAGATCCGTCCGTCAGCGCTGCGCTGCGCTGATGTTTTTGCAGGTTTCTCACTGGGTTGCAGTAAAGCAAAGAAAAATAAGGATTGACAAAGTGTTTCATCAGCATGGAAAATTCGCTGGCCGATTATAAGTCCAGTGAAGCACGCATGATTCCTGCACGCCAGGAAGAAGAAAAGCCGGAGCTCGAAGAGAGAAAGAAATCCTTTTTGACACTTCGGCTCATTTATTAAGAGTTCCTCTGTTGCTCCGCTGCACGCATCGTCCCCTCGCACATTTCCAGGTCAGATTAGGAGATTTCGGTCCACTCCGGGAAACGTGTTCAGGGAGTCAGACGCTTGGTTGTTGTGGACGGTGGAGAGTCGTGAGGTTTGTCTGAAGGCAGCAGCAGCAGCAGCAGCATCAGCAGCAGCGGACTGGAGCAGAGACTGACGCTCTGCTGTTCACCTGTGAGTTCTGGAGTGGGTTTTTTCTGTCTTCACTACATAAGACCGCAGCCCTCAGAGGGAGAACCGAGGAAATGGACTGTCAAGTGCATTTGTTTTCTGGCAATCTACTGTATTTACTCTGTGTCATTTAATTACAATCATGCAATGGCATTGAGGCCAATAAAGCTTCACTGGAAAATAAAAGTCATATTCTGTAAAAAACTGAAAATCTTGCAGCAAGGGTGCAGAAAAAAATATGTTTAAAAGAGGTTTAATACTACAACATTTTAAAAAAGAAAAGAAGAAAAGCCAAATATCTGTATAATAATCATATTACAGTAAATTTGTGTTATTTTATGGTCACGTAAACGAAGAAATTACTTTTTGTAAAATTGCATATTTTTGATGTGAGCATTATTTACAGCTTTGTTTTGCTTTTACAGTCAACCTATAAATCAGGTTTACTATAATTTAGCAAAACAGGGAAAATAAGTACAATTCTGGGGATTTTTTTATAATTAATTTTCCAGTATCTGTGAAACAACATTTTTTTAAAAGCTGATTTTAATACACTACAATTGTCAGACATTGTGAAACAAAGAATTACCATTTGTTCAAATATAGATATATAGAAAATATAGGATACTTTCTAAATATAGCAGGGATTTAATATTTTTGATTTGATGAGGACATTATTTACAGTTTTGTTCTGTTTTTTTGTTTTGTTTTAATAAAATATTCCAATATTTATTTTTTATTTAAATTATTATACACATGTTAGGAGAAGAAGTAAACTTGTTAAAAAAATAGCTTGGTGTGGTAATACTTTGTGAGTAGGTGAGCTAGAACGTGGCTGTGTTCCAACAACCAATCTGATGTCACATATAACACATGTAAAAGATAAAGATAAAGATAACTTTATGGATCCCACAGTGGGGAAAGTTCACTGTTACAACAGCTCCAAAAAAGTGTACAATCAGTGCAAGAATAATTGGGAACACCCAGTGCAAATTTTAGGAAATAAACAGAAACAGAAAACAGAAAAACAGAAAACACACAGTGCAAAAATTGCAAGAGAAAAAAAAACATTATATACAGAAGATGTTTTTTGTTTGTTTGTTTGTTTTTAAAACAAGACTATACACACAAGGATGAGGTAGTAATGGTTATTGCACATAGTGGAATGTGTTTGTTGGTGGAAAAAAGAAAAAGTGCAGCAGTAACAGGGGTACCAGTGGAGTCTATAGTGCAGCGTTGGGAAGTCTGACTGTTGTTGGGATGAAGGACCTGCGGAAACGTTCCTTCTTACACTTTGGGTGTAACAGTCTGTCGCTGAATGCACTGTGTAAGGAGTTCACAGTCTGATGCAGAGGGTGGGAGGTGTTTCCTATGATGGCAGACAGTTTGGCCAGTGCCCTCCTCTCTCCCACCACCTCAATGGAGTCCAGGGGGCAGCCACAGACTGAGCTGGCTGATCCAATTTAGAAATTTGATTTCTTTTAACACCATGTACTTTGTGATCCTCTCAAGACAGTGTACCATTTTGACAGCATCCAGACATCACATTTTCACAATACTTGCATCCTTTGAAAGGTCAAAAGGAACATAGAGTCAATTCTTAGTGGTTTTGATGCACAATTACATCCTATTAAAAATAGATTGGAATTCAGTGGTGAATGTGTTTTTAGATTTTTACAACCTTAACTATTTTAACGTGAGAACATGTTTGTATTAGTTAAAGTATGCGTGATTCAGGTTTAGCTGCAGATTTAGTTGAAGCCTTTTTACACACTCTTAAAGGTTGCAGGGATGAAACCTACATGATGGATGAAACAAACTGCTGAACAATGAAACAATGACCTGCAGCTAAAAGACAGAAGCTAAAGGGTGGATGGACGCAGTGTGACGTCTGCACTGGGTGGATGTCCTGAGCAGAGCAAGGACACTTTTGACAAGAGTGTCTGATGTAATTCAAGTTTTAATCATCTTATAAGCTTTAATTAATTTTTTTTTTTTAAAGAATAACTTTAGCAACTGTTCTAGGTTTTAATCAGTTGTGGATTACATGAATAAAGCTCACTGTGCTGTATATCAGCTCTCATGGACTACCGAAAAAGTAATAATAATAATTTGAAAAATTAAGGCAACACTGTGCCATCCCACTGTGAGTAATGGTCTCGGCTTGGCCGCCCCTTTAAAAAACTGTCTGGCTCTGCTCCTGATTTAAAGTTTGAGGCTTCAGGGAGGAAACAGTTGGAGCTAGCTGAATGTCATTTGGCCCAACAAAGAGGCTAAACAGAAATGAAAAAGGAGACATAATTAAGAAAACTCCAAACAAAAGTGACTGCAATTTTTTGGGGGGAACAGAGGCTTAAATTAAACATAGTCTGAGACTCTACAAACCACAAAACTAAAGCTAAGCTAACTTGCTAACGCTAAACACCCATACAAGAGCAAGCATGTTGCTAAGCTGTTGTACACACCAGATACTCCTTAAAGCAGCTAAAATAGATATTTTTATGATGCTGT